ACACACACACAGACAGCCTCTCGACAATATGCGTTTTTGCTGGCTGTAGCAGCGCTACAGCGCTGCGCAGCAAAAACGCATAAAAACAAGTTTCTTAAGTTAGCTGGTAATGTAATGTGACAGAAAAAGCTACATCAATTGCCGTGCTAAGACCTCAGTTCATGAAATTTGCTGTTTGATGATTTCCTCAATTAATTCGGGCGAAAATTTTAGTGCGATATGATTTCTGACAATTAAAATCTGGTCCTACCTTTAAAATAAAGCAGTCCAATAATTTTTAGAACATCAATTTTCGCTACATTCATCGTTTTCTTTAGAATCCATTTCCAAGAATCCAGTTTGCTGGTTTTAGCGCTGTTAAGCGGACTGCATCTAGTGATACACTAGAAATTTTATCAAGGCAGCCGCATCCATAGCAATACAACCAGTTAAAAAGTTTTAAAAAATGCCGCTGATTACGAGACTTGATAATAACACAGTTACATCTTCCTGTTTTAAACTTTCTACATACTGAATTGTTCTGGTACCATCGCATACATGCATGCGTGAATTCCAAGTCTTTAAAATGGGTTTGCATATTATTTCCAGAACACACGTGAACGTTTGAGACACGCGCTGACCGCAATAGCTTGGCCAATGACTCAAGCAGGCATATCTACGATATTGAGTTTGTGCGTCCTGGGCATCATCCAGGCCTACATGGTAAAGGTGTTCGTCAAAGTGGTGGTTTTGGTGGTGATGCTCGGTCTCATACATGGCCTTATCATTTTACCTGTTGTTTTTGGTGCAATACCGTTGCAAAAGAAAGTCGGAAACATCGATCGAACTACTCCACTACCGCAAAAGGTGATCCTACTGTACTCGAAAACAGAACATAGGGAACCGAGTTGTCATAGGGAATCGAGTACATACTTCATCTTCAATCAAAATTTTCTTTTACAAGCGATCGCTATAATTGCTGATATCCACAATACAAAAATGGACGAGGCACCACAAACCATCGGGCGTTCTGCAATCGACAGAACTCCCGAGGTGTAACACCAAGCAAACCCCAACAAACTCATACTTCAGAAACAGCAGGACCTCAAAAGCTCTAGCAACAACAGTGTTGCATGAGAGGGATCAAAAATTCCTCCTGACCTGATCTCAGACACAATCCCATCCACAGCTAATTGACCAGCTAATAATAACAATGTAATCACCGAATCAACACAATGGTGGGAGTGCAGCCGGCATTATTTCATGTTTGATCGCTCTCGCAGTACCGATCGATCTCGCACTCGCGACATCAATATTCAAAACCCAGGCTGGAACGCATTGGGCAGGCCCGTGCGATCATGAGTTTTTACGCTGGACTTGAAGTACTATTTAAGACTTGAAGTACCATTTAACGATCGTTCTTTAAAATTAACCTAGTTGTTCGGTCAGAAATTCAGCCAAAATTTTAAGTGCCTATATGTAAGAACCACACATACTTCAAGGCTGAATCT